ATCAAAAATGGGGGGGGAGGAGGAAAGTGCACGGGGCTATGGTGATGGCACACGGGTTACTCGGTGATGGGAAACCCATGGGGATTACAATTGAGATAAAAAAATGTACAAAATGATGTAAAAATAAACTTATATTATTTAAAATAATAATAATAATAAAATACAACAAAGAGGGAATTAAATGTAGTGCAAAGACTCAGGAAAAATTATTACTTTTACCTTTCCAAAAGACAGGTTTCTTAGGAAAAGGAGAAAGAAAAAGGAAGTTTCCTCCATAGTCATAGGTGGGCTAAGAGTTCTTAGCCAAAAGCATGACCCATAGAGGGAAAATTTATAAATTTTATCTCATCAGAATCAACATCTTTTGCTCTTCAAAAGATACTGCTAAGAGAATGAAAGGACAAATTATAGACTCAGAAAATATTTGCAAATCTTATATCCAACAAAGGTCTGGTGTTTGGAATGTAAAAAGAACTCTCAAAACTCAGCATAGAAAAAAACAACCCAGCAAACAATCTAATTAGAAAATGGGCAAAAGACATGCACAGACACTTCACCAAAGAAAATATATAGGTGGCAAATAAACACATGAAAAGATATTCAACATCATTAGTCATTAGAGAAATGCAAATTAAACCACAATGAAGTATCACAGTACTTATCAAAATGGCTAGAATGAATAACAGCGATTAACACGAAATGTTGGCAAGGATGTGAAGAAACCAGATCACTTATATATTGCTGGGGGAAATAAAATGAGATAGCCACTCTGGAAAACAGTTTGTTAGTTTCTGGAAGTGCGCGCGCACACGCGCGCACACACACACACACACACACACACACACACACCAACCACACATACACTTATCATACAACTAAGAGAACGCATGCCTGGGCATTTAGCCAAAAGAAATGAACACTTACTTTCACGCAGGAACTTGTACATGAATGTTCACAGCAGTTTTATTTGTAATAGCTCAAAATTGGAAATTAACCAAATGTCTTTTAATTGGTGAATTGTTAAACAAAGTGACACACCCATATTATGGAATACTATTCAGAGATAAAAAGGAACCAACTATTGATACATGTAACAATTTGGATGGGAGATTATGCTGAGTGAAAAAAAGCCAATCTTAAAAGGATACCTATTGCATGATTCCATTTATGTAACATTCATGAAGTAACTTAATTATAGAGATGGAGAACAGATTAGTGGTTGCCAGCAGTTAGTGATAGTGGGAAGGGAGAGGTGTGGCTATAAAAAGGTAACACCAACATATCTTAGGATCATGGTACGGTTAAGCATTTTTTTGTAACAGCTTTATTGAGATATAATTCACATACACACTTCAGTACCTGGATTGTAGTGATTCCATGAGACTACACAGATGTGTACACAGACTTATGCACACATGCAAATGAGCGCAGGTATAACTGGTGAGGTCAGAATAAGCTCTCTTCATGGCACTAATGTCAATTCCTTGGTTTTGATCTGTACTGGATGTTAACATGGGGGAAGTGAGGAACAAGTACCTGGGGCTTCCTTGCACATTTCACTGCAACAACCTGTGGCTATTATTTCCAAAGAATATTTCCAACTTAAGGTATTTTTAACTACCTTATCCGCAACAGTACCTCTTCCGTCACTCTGCACCCTCATAGCCTGCTTTGTTTTTCTTCGTATGCTGTACCTTTATCTGATGTTATGGTATATGTAATGCATAAGATATAACATATATTGTATAAATCTAACTTCTCTGGCGGCCTTAGGAACTTTAATTCTCTATTGTATGCCCAGTGTTTGAATGGTACTTGTTATGTTATCTTTTGCTGAGTGAGTGCATGAGTTCACCTAACTTCCTGTAGGCGTACAGGAAGTACATTTCATTTATTGTATCTACACATTAATTGGCCTTTACAGCCTCCTGCTAGAAACAGCACCTTTATTAAGGCATCTACCAGACTCTCCATTTAGAGGAATCTCGATTGACAATTTCTAGTAGTTACATTTAATAAGTGCAATTCTCCAGTGGGGAAGAGGTATTCGGTCTTATTCTGTTCATTTCTCCCCTGCTTCAATCGGGCCTTTCAGGATGATGTTCTCATTTAGAATCTTTCTGGGATAGTTAAAACTTTAGCTATGAGAAGGCAGCTAAATAAAGTTCCTTGAATCTGTGTTCCTCAAAATGAGCTTCAGGAAGTTAAGACTTGAGATTGAGTTGTTCAGCTAAGATGAAGTCATTGCATAAGAAAAGAGAAATGATGCAAAGAAAGTTCATTAAACTCTCAGCCATCTGTCTTACTAAAAATTATCATGATAAATTTTATTGCACCTATGGTAGGGAAAACAATAGGCCCAAAAAATTACACACCTAATCCCAAAATCTGTGAACAGGATATGTCCAATAACAAGAACTTTGCAAGTGGATGTGATTAAGAAGGATCTCGAAATGGAGAATTAGATTGAACTCTGCAGGTGGGACCAATCTGAGCACGTTGAGCCCAAAGATACAGATAATAAGTAAGATACTTATTTGCCATGGTGTGTTTTGAAGATGGAAGAGGGAGCTTTCAGAAGCTGATTGGGAATATTTCTGGAAACTCTATGCTATTCCGTTCAACCGACTTACTAGGTTCCTAAATGATAGTGAGAACACTCTAGATGCTGGATCCTAAGAACATGGTTACCTTCACTTTATTCCTTCCTTTATGTGTTTTACCAAAAGACAATTTGAAATAATTATTCCTGAGGGAGGGGGTGAGAGCTGGACAAGGAAGTGTTGTTTTGCCAAACGCCCCTTCCGTTTTTAGAGTTATAGACCAGGAAAATGCTTCTGGTGAAAGAAGTTGTGCTGTTTCCCTTTTTGAAAATGATTCCTGGCTCAGTTAACATATCCAGTCTTCAAGATCTTCAAGACCCACATATTAAACTTTGTAATAAATTTGTACCTGGCACATGGTAAGCACATAATAAATGTTAGGTAATTATTAGAGTCAAGACCAAATAACACGTACCTTAAACTCTTGCCAGTATCCAACAATAAATATCTAATTTCTACATCTTCCCCACCTGAAGTTAGGTATGAGCATGGAAAAAGGAGGTGGTAAATTGAATAACTGCCACCCAAAAATGTCCATGTCCTAATCCTCAAAACCCTTACTTGGTAAAAGGGACTTTGTAGAGGTGATTAACAATCTCAAAATAGGAAGATAATCCTGGACAATTTGGGTGAGGCAAATATAAGCACAAATGTCTCTGTGAGGGTCAAGCCCCACAAAGGTCAGAGAAAAAGGAGAGTCAATGCAGAAATTAGCTCCTTGAACAGGGGAAAAGAGACCAGCCATCTGAGATACTAAGTGGTGCTAGAAATTGGAAAATGGATTCTCTAGGGTTCCCAGAAGGAACTAAACCCTGCTCACATCTAGATTTTAGCTCAGTGAGACTTGACTTACAGAACTGTGATATAACAAATTTATGCTGCTTTAAAGTCACTAACTTTACATGGTAATTTGTTACAGCAATAGGAAATAAGCACAAGCCCTCCCTGGTGGCCCAATGGGTTAAAGCCACAGCTGCTTCAACACAAGTTGGATCCCCAGCCAGGGAGCTGACCCATATGGCACAGCAGACCTCTCCTGTACTGCCCACTGCTCCCCTCAGCAGTGTATTGTCCATCTGCCTGTTTTGCTCCCCACTCTGTGGTGAATTATCTCACCAACCCCAGCCCCCCATCTCTGGCTTGTACTCCAGTTCTGTATACATAAAAAAATAGACCTTTAAAAAAAATGAGTACAGATGAATCAAGAGTTTCACTGGCCATTCTGCAATGCTATCACTACTGGACAATCCTTGTCTAATTGTAGGACTCAGGCCCATTGGTATCTTTCTTGTCCTGTTACCAAGCCAGATTTTCCCCATCCTTCAGGTCTTGTCTCTACCCTCCTACCCCTCAGCAGGCTGTCCCAAGTCTCCCCCATTCACCTGACTTTGAGGCCTAGATTTGATGGCTGTTCTAAGATACTGGTATTAGTTCCATGAGCTTGAGACTAGAGAAACTAGAAACATACACATTTGGGAGCAGAGTAACTAAAACATGAAAGAGCAAGAAGTGGATTTTTCTCTCACAGGGTCAAGCCAAAGAGAAAGAAAGCTAGAGACTATGAACCAGACAGTGAAAACAGCTTGAACAGCACTATAAAGTTCTGAACATCTGCTCTAGACATTTTAAAGCTTGGGACTTGGGCATAATTCCCCTATCCTTTTGTCCAAGCCCAGAAATCTACATTCTGAGACAGTAGAGACCATTGTAAATATATAGTTTGGAGTGTAAGAAGTCTAGATTTGAATCGTGGTTCTGCAAATCTTCAAGAGGTCCCCTAACGAGTTCTTTGTCAGTGAGCTCCTCAGAGCAGGTGAACCAAGAAAGTTATTAAACACCTCACCTCTTAACCCAAACCAGACTTCTGGGTCCAAAAGAGGTATAAAATGCATGTTTCTGGCACTAACAAAGTATGCTTTTTTTCACTCTTCTTTCCCAGAAAAAAAGGCCCTTGCTTTATATTTTTTTATTTGTGATTATTTTTTTCCTTTCCCTTCTGTTACTAGCTAGAGCTAAACATTGGCTGGGGACCCAGGCGACTGCGGGGAAAGGCGCCCTCCCAGGAGCAGAAGGCTCGCTTAGGATAAACTGGGGGTGGGGCTCGAACTACCGCCTCTGCCTCCCCAGAGCAGTAGGGATTCTTTCGTCTTAAGGCCGGACCAAGTCCCTAGCCTGAGCACTCCCCAGGTCCCCCCAACAGCAAGTGACCGCCAGAACACTTTGCGGGGCACGTACGGGGTTGGAAGGTTCCCGTTGTCCAGGGCCCGGAGCCTCCAGGGAGGGGCACGCAGGCGCCGCGCCCGGCAGCCGCGTGGGCGGGGACCACCCACGGCGCCGCGGCCCCCCCCCTCCCCCTCCCCCCCTTCTGGCTCCCCGCCCTCGCACGCTCCTCTCGCGTCCACCTCCGCTTTTAAGTCCTCTCTGAGGCAAGATGGGATAGGGTACCCAGCCTCTACGACAGAGACTCCCCGTGGGGACTAGGGGGCGCCAGCGGGCCCCAGCGTGGGGGGTGAAGAGACTGCCTTCCTTCTCGTCGCTCCAGCCCCTCCCCTCCCCGCAGAGAGTGCTAGACGCAGATTTCCGGGCTCTCCTTCACTACTTCCATTCTAAAAGTTTTGAGTAGCTATTGCTTTTAACTCATTGTAGTATGGGAACAAAGTAATAAATTAACGTTAGGTTTGGGATAAACCTTTGCTGTTCCCACATAAATGTTGGGAATCTTTAGACCTAATTTAGACCCGAAAGGGCGGGTGTGGGAGGGGGTAGTGCATCTTGTTGAGGAATATGGAGCACTTGTGGGAGTCTCCAGTACCCTTTTGCGGGGGGAGGCCCTGAGGTTGGGCCCTACCACCCCCTTGCCTTCTGCTGACCTGGGTGAAAAATTCATGGTGTCTACCTTAGCCCAGGTCAACAAACTTTTATTGCCGTTTCTGTCTCACCGGCCCCAGCAAGACCTCTGCTTCTTTCAGTGCAGAAATGAGCTCTGATGCAGGGCGTGGAGTGGCTAGGGGATTTATCTCGTATCCTCTGCACACTGCCAAGGTTAAAGAAACCTCCACTTGCTAGAGAGGGAGGGCCAGACAGGGGAAGAATTCAAGGGCAGTAAGGCTCCGTTCCACCTCTGCTGGCTGCAGAATACAGTGACGGTGCTTCCAAACCTTTTTCAAAGGGGAGGGGGAGGAATTTGGCCACGGTTGTACCCTTGTCCTTGCTGCCATGTTTCCATGGAAATGAGGAGGGGCAGGATATAGCTCACTCGCACCACCTGGGAGGATGGCAGGGCAGGCATTTAGTAAACACATCCCCTTCCACTTCTACCTAGCACATACAACTGTCCCCAGCCGACCCCCTTGCTCACTGCCTGTACCACTCCCTTTCCCTTCTGGAGCTGGTATCATGCCAGCTGAAGTCCAGGCAGGCCTGCTGGTGTCCACTTCCAGCCAGGCCTCACTGGCAAGAACCATAATCTGAATGTCGAGCTCAGGAGTTGCCCTGGTCGCTGCCCTTGTAGGTAGCCTCTGTGAAAACCAACAGCCTAGTAAGGTCTGAAACAATACAAAAATAACACTCTTAACAATGCTGAGGGCTTGGATGGGAGAGGAGGTGCGTCCTGCGTTCTCCGGAGACTTGAACCACCCGTGTACCCTGCCTTCTGCAATCTGGAATGTGCTTCTTCCTGCTGGGCGGCTGCTGGAGGACTAGAATCCAAATCTCCATTCTGTGTCCAGAGCTGTACCCACTGCAGTTGGTACAGTGCAGGCTTCACCTGTCGCCAGTGAGGGACCGCAGCATGAATTCTCAGTACCATGGGTCAGCCCGGTGCTGCTGGTTGTAGAGCTGTAGTTTGATCTGATCTTTGATCTGATTCACAAGGATCTGGGACAGCAAGATTCCCACGAGCTAGAAGTGGGGAGGAAACAGGCCCTTAACAATGAGTGATGCCCTGGTTTTCCCAGACTCAAGCTTCCCAATGTGGTCAGTACCATCCCATTCCATGCCCCTTGGGAGTGTCAGTGCCTGACAACCTAGCTCATTCCCATGTGCCCTCCCCCAAACAAGGTGTTTTTGCAGAACTGTGTGACCCACAAGGTTTCCAGGGCAAGTTACCTGAGGGATGGCTAGGCCCAGAGCTACACCACCAAGTAAGAAGAGGTTGCTGTGTATCCAGTTGACCAGTTTGTCAATACAGCCATTGGTGTAGATGACTTTACTGGCCTCCAAGTAGTCCTGGGCCTGCATACTTTGGCCACACATGGTGTTGATCACTGCCTGGGGAGAGAATTGAAAACCAAGTAGGGGGCCCTCCCTGGTGGTGCAGTGGGTTAAAGCACAGCACTGAGAAGCTAAAGTCACTGCAGCAGGAGTTCAATCCCTGCCTGTCCCAGAGGTGACCCACATGGCGCGGCAGACCTCTCCTGACCCGCCCTCTGCTCCCCTCAGCAGTGTACTGCATCAGTTGGCCTGTTCTGCTCCCCACTCTGTCTCTGGTGAATCCTCTCACCGCCCCTGTACCTCTGGCCTGTACCCCAGCTCTGTATGGATAAATAAATAAATCTTTCAAAAAAAAAAAAAAGAAAGAAAGAAAGAAAAGAAAACCAAGTAGGACTCTCCCTGTAACTTTTTCTTTTGGAGCCAAACTGAAGGACTTCCAATCCTAAGTTATTAGAGAATGCTTGTGGTGGGTGCAAAGTGCTACATGCAGACTTCCCTTGCTCTGACAGATGGGAGTGTAGTTCTGCTTCCTGAGCACTCTGGCCCTCCTAACCCCCACAGTGGCTATGGGAATGAACCGTAACAGAGCTGTCAGAGCAGAGGGAAGGGGAACACCTGGCAGTAGTCCTACAGAAGTGATTAGTTAGTCCTACAGAAGTGATTAGTCCTACAGAAGTGGGGGGTCGCCATTAGCAGCACCCTGATAGGACAGTAACCCAGAGGGATGCCCAGGAGGACAGGAGGTAGGTGTGTGCTCACCTGGTTGGGGGTAGGCAAGCAACAGGAGTAAGGCACAGAGCAGCGCTCACGACTAGGGTTGTCTTCTGAACAGTTGAAGTACATGTTCTGGGACCAGTCCTTGTAGGAAATACCCCCACAGCAGCTGAACTGCAACACAGCCCACCAGAGAGGTTAGGAACCACCCACCGCCACGCTGAGGGAACCAGGGGAGTTCCCAGCAGCCAGAAGACTAGCAGGCTTCCACTGGTAAGTGGGGCTGTGTTTAAACATAATCTTAAATCTTGAGTTCGAGTTTCTCAGTAGCCTTCACCTGAAATTGTTTTTTTCATTTCCTATTATTTTATGTATCCTGTTATAACTTGCGATAGCTTTACATACAGGTTTTGTTTTACATGTTCAATTTTGAGCTCCTTGGGTGTAGTTTCAGGAATTGCCATTCTGTAGAGCATACAGCCTGGCAAAATGAGGTGTTTAAAAATACTGACTGAAAGAATTAAAAGATCAGTGCTGAAAACATCTTAATGTAAGAGAAAACACAGGAGGAGAAGCTTTAATATTGTGGGCCATAATTACTCCATGAAAGCAAATAGGATCCAAGTCAAGTATCTAAGTATCTGCTACATCAAGGAAAGGGGAATTCAACACTCACCTCAAAAGAATTTTAATTGAAAATGTAACTTTTGACTCAGAGCAGTATTATTCACAATGGCCAAAAGGTGAGAATCCTAGTGTCCAGCAAAAGATGAACAGATAGGGCCTCCCTGGTGGTGCAAGGGGTTAAAATCTCAGCACTAAGAAGCAATCCTCAGCCACTGCAGCATGAGTTCGATCCCCACCCTGGAGGTGACCCACATGGTGCAGCAGACCTCTCCTGTCTCACCCTCTGCTCCCTTCAGCAGTGTATTTCAGTAGATCTGCCTGTTCTGCTCCCCGCTCTGTCTCTGGTGAACCCTCTCACACCTCTTGTACCCCAATTCTTATATGCATAAAAAATAAATCTTTAAACAAAAAGATGAATGGATAAACAAAATATGGTATAGATGTACAACAGGAAGAAAATGTTGACATCCCACCACCCAGATGAACCTTGAAGGCAGGTTAAGTAAAATAAGCCAGTCATAAAAGGACAAATTCTGTATGATTCCACTTATGTTTTTTTAAATATTTATTTATGCATACAGAACTGGGGTACAGGCCAGAAATGCACGGATGATGAGAAGATTCATCTGAGACAGAGTGGGGAACAGAACAGGCAGATCAACAGGTACCCTGCTGAGGGGAGCAGCAGGTGAGACAGGAGAGGTCTGCTGTGCCAAGTGGGTCAGGTCCCTGGCTGGGGATTGAACTAACTCAGGCAGTTGTGGTGATAGCACTGAGACTAAGCCCCTCAGCCTCCAGGGAGACCCCTTAAAAGTACTTTTAAAGCAAGAGAAACACATGTCTTTTGCAGCAACTTGGATGGAGCTGGAAAAGA